GTGTCTCTCTCTCCCTCCCTCCTCCCCCCTTTCCCTCTTTTGTGCTCCCCTCTCCTCCCTCCCTCCCCCCTTTCCTGTGTCTCTCCTCTCCCTCCCTCTTTCTGTGTCTCTCCTCCTCCACTCCCCTTTCCTTGTGTCTCTCCCCTCTCCCTCCCCCTTTTCCTGTGTCTCTCCCCGTTTCTCTCCCCCCTCCCATTTCCCCCCCCCCCCTTTCCCTGTGTCTCTCCCTCCCTCCCCCTGCCCCCAATTTACCTTAGAGAAGGCAGGGGGCCGGCCGCGTTCCAGACTGGAGCCGCCGGGCCGGGTGGCAGCTTCGCCGGTCCGGCGGCACTCCAGTCACTGGCTGATGGAGGAGGAGCCTGTCTACCATGCTCCCTCGCGGTTCCCACAATTCCCGGCACAGGAACCGCAAGGGAGCATGGTAGACAGGCTCCTCCTCCATCAGCCATCAGCAGCCAGTGATTGGAGTGCCGCCGGACCGGCGAAGCTGCCACCCGGCCCGGCGGCTCCAGTCTGGAATGTGGCCGGCCCCCTCTGAGTGTGCCACCGGATCGGCCACCCGGTGGCACCTATATGCGCAGCCCCAGGTGCCGCGGCCCACCGGGAAATTTCCCGGTATCCCAGTGGGCCAGTCCGGCCCTGCACAGCTATAACACACCCTCCAGTATCACAGCTAGTCAGACCCACAGTCTAATTACTTGTATATTGGTTTCCTAGCAACTGCACTTTACACAAACATGCCCTAATTACATCACGTGACCCCTGTTAGTCACTTCCGGGTTCACATGGAGAGATTGAGGAAGTTAGTCACTATTGGTGAGTACTTTTATACTTTCTGTATATAAAGAATGTGTGTATGCTTATATTGATCTTGAGAAAGACCCGAACAGGTCGAAACGTCAATCAAGCTCAATGTAAACTGACATTTGGATTAAAATAGTACTTTGTTTATAAAAGACCAGAGAGTGCATCTCTTTTCAAGGTATATATATCTGCTAACGTGGGATTGCACCAGGGCATTAAACTACACAGCAGGAGAAAGGGTGAGTGCCAAGCTACTTATCTTTTTTTGTATATATATATATATATATATATATATATATATATATATATATATATATATATAATGCCAAAATACCAGAATATTGCAGTATGCAATGATACCTTTTTTATTGGACTAACATAATATTTCAAAGACAAGCTTTGAAAAGTGTTCCTGTCTTCCTCAGGTCTGAAGCAATACTGATCAATCTGATAGAGTTAAACACTTAAAACAACTGATGTTAGAGAAGGGGAGGGAGGGGGGTCAGTGGGTTGTCATAACTCTTGAAAGCTTTTTTTTGAAATATTATGTTAGTCCAATAAAAAAGGTATCATTGTATACTGCAATATTCTGGTGTTTTGGCATCTTGTCTACTGGACTAATACGGCTAATCCAATAATCCAATCTACACTATATATATATAGCAAAATCCAATTAGGTTATGGTGGGGAAAAATTGTGATTGAAAACCCCTTCCACCTGAAGTATGTGGATAGTTAATACAATGTTAAACAAAAATCTGCACACCAGTCAAGCCATAAGACTTGCTTTTCCCACAGAAATCCCAAATCTGCAGTGATGTTAAAACCGCAAAGGATTCTGGGTGGGCATATGCAAATTAGTTTAACAAAGAATCACATTTTTGCCTCATTCCATTTTAAACATGGATTCCTTTTAATCTGTGTTTGCAGTATACAACTGCTTGGAACACAATTTAGGAAAAGATGCAAAACCAGTGAACCACTCATGGACAGCTGTTTCGTTGTTAATGCACGTTGTTTAACATTGTATTAACTATCCACAGACTTTAGGTGGAAGGGGTTTTCAATCACAATTTTTCCCCACCATAACCTAATTGGATTTTGCTTCCCAAGCACTACCAAGCCTCAATAAGCAAACCAGTAACCAACCTCATGCTGAAGAGTTGCATTAACAGCGAAACAGCTGTCCATGAGTGGTTCACTGGTTTTGCATCTTTTCCTAAATTGTGTTCCAAGCAGTTGTATACTGCAAACACAGATTAAAAGGAATCCATGTTTAAAACGGAATGAGGCAAAAATGTGATTCTTTGTTAAACTAATTTGCATATGCCAACCCAGAATCCTTTGCGGTTTTAACATCACTGCAGATTTGGGATTTCTGTGGGAAAAGCAAGTCTTATGGCTTGACTGGTGTGCAGATTTTTGTTTAACATTGTATTAACTATATATATATATATATATATATATATACATATATATATATATATAATTAGCACATAATTAAACTGAAGAATTAAATCAAGAGATACTGAAGAAGTATAGATGTGAATGACCAGAGATTTTGAGATACTTATCTGATACCAGCACTTACAAAATGATCACGTACGATCCAGCAAGCAAAACCATTTAAAAATGTGAAGCATTAGTGAACAATGGTTTCACGGTGGTTTAGATCAATATACGGCTGAATTTTTGGTGGATCTACATCACAAAATACCGATTTTGTATACTTTACCAAAGATTCACAATAATGCAAACAACCACCCTCGGAGAGCCATTGTCTCAGCCAGTGGTGGAGAATCAGAATCTTTGTCAAAACTTATTCACTTTCATTGCAAACAAAGTGTTTCTGAAATTCCAACATGTTTGAGAGACACACAAGATTTTCTGACTAAATTGAAATCCGATTTACCTGGTTCATATGCAATTTTTGATCCAATAAATGTTTTAAAACATTCTATACGGTCATGCTGCATGTAATGGGCATTGAAGCCATGCGTTGGAATCTAGTTCATACAGGATCTCCTTTTGAATTTTTATTGGAATGATTTGAGTTTCCTTAATAAATATTTATTTTAGATTTTAAAACAATTTCTACATTCAACAGCCAGGGATTGCAATGGATTCGCCCATGGCACAAACGTATGCCCATTGCTTTATGCAGATATATATAGGATCAAGGATTTTGACACTTTACAACTCACATCTTCTGTCGTACCACAGGTTTGTAGATAACATCTTCATCATATGGTCTGGTGCCCTACCTGATTTATTAAATGTGATTGAAGAGTTGAAAGAGGAAGAATCTCTTATTCAATTAAGTCTAGCTTATGATTTTTAAAGGGTGCCGTTTTTGTATGATGATGTCTACAGAACACAAAATTGGATTGGACTTACTTTATACAGAAAGTCATCGGATTGCAACACACTGTTACATACAAACAGGTTTCATCCATCTTCTCTTAAATAATTTTTATTGATCTCACAATTTTTACTGGGTACCCTGAAACAATTCTGATGAGTTGGATCGTAAACAGCAGATTAATATGATGAGACAATCTTTTCTGGAATGGGAATACAATGAAAAATGTTATAGAGATCATTGGATCATGCTCAAAAACATTTATTTTTTTATTTTTTATTAATTCTTTATTTTTCGTTGTGCATGGGTTAACAAATCTTCCCACATCGTCGCAATAAACAAATGCAGGAATAGGCATCTTTCACAATGAAACATATGACATAAGGTGTTAAACATACAAGACTATTGCTTTGTTCCATTACGCTGCGTCGGCACATTTTTGTGGTTTTTGTTTTTACAGGTGATGCATTCGACAGCATTACAGGGTACAAGTTATGGTTATGTTCTTTGGCACACGTGAATATCCAATAACGCTTTCTGTATATAGATTGCTATCACCTGCTTTTTGTATTTTAATCTGGATATAACAAATAAATTGTTAGTCATGTCTCAAGGCTCGGGCATTCCTGTCCATGTTCGTCTAGTTGTGAGCCCTTGTAAGGGGTTCACAGTCGGTTGCAGTTGGGCCTAAGTGACTCTTTTATTAGTTTATTGTGCTATCTGTTGTCTATGTACATGCGTGGTATAGTCTGTTCTCATATATGCGGTTCCCACACCTTTAGCAGCGCTATGGGAGATAAGTACATAGGGTGTCCATTAGTGGAGTTAGCGTGTGCTTTCGAGGGTAGGTTATGTTATGTCCCTAACCCTAGGGGACGTCTGGGGGGGGGAGGTGGTGAGTGTAGTCTAGTCGGTGGCTAGCAGTCGTTAGGCAGGTCGTCTCTAGGAGAGCAACTACCTAGGTGCACAGATATCTCTGGGGCTTCAGTCCGATCATTATGTGAACTTTTTCAGTTGCCGGGTGGAAACAATATTGAAAGCATAATATAAAATACGAAACAATAAAACCATGTTGTTGCAACTTAAGAGAAGGTGGTACTTTAAGTCCCATCACCCTGACCATTCCGTGGCGTGAACGGGGTAATGTTATCCATGTCCCAAGTCCCGTTAGTGTCTCTGGCACTCTGCTCTTGCGTGGTGTCATCGATGCCCACTGCTGCTAGGAAGGTGGTGGCTTCCGCCACGTCGGTTGCCTTCAACTGTGTGCCGTTGAGATGTACCGTAAGGGATCTGGGTGTGGACCATCTGTATGATATACCAGCTTCTTGTAGTTTTCACGTGATGGGTTGCATCGTTTTCCGCCATGTCAGTGTGGAACGATGAAGATCTTGGAAAAACGAGATCTTGTGAGTCTCAAAGTCCATTGGTGTCTTGTTGTATGTTGCGTTCAATAGGGCATGCTTGTCTTGTCTCGTCCCACAGCATAAGATTATGTCCCTTGGAGCTGTATTCGGCGCCCTGGGGGACCTAGTTATGCGGTAGATTCCGTCGTGCGTGAATTGTTTGGCCTGTTTCGCAGGGAGTAGTTTGGACACCATTCTCCTTATGAAGTATGGTAATTCTTCAGGGGTGACTGTTTCTGCAACACCTCGTATCTTGATATTTTTCTGGCGTACTCTTTCGTCTATAGCGTCTATTCTCAGCGAGGTTTCCGTGTGTGACCCCTGTAGCTGTTTAACTGTGTCTGTTAATGCCGTTAGCTGCTGTTGTAGGTCAGCCACAGTGGAATCTGTTGCCTGGACATGAGCCTTTACCGCCTGCACTTCTGTGCGCACCGCGGCTATTTCTGCCGCGAATAGTTGTTGGATGCGGTTAAAAAGGTTGTCGATGTCCTGCTTAGTTGCAGGGTCCTGGCTGTTCGAGGTTTGTGTTGTCTGGAGCCCTGTTGGAGGTGGCCCTTGTGTGGTGTTACTCACCCCTCCTGTCTCTTTAAGGTCCTGGGCCCCTGTTTCAGCCTGATCCTGCTCCCTGGGCTTTGGTGTGCGTTGTAGCAGCACTCCAATGTCTTGCATGTCTTGTGAGGTGGCTGCTTGGGATTTGTGGGACTTTTTGCCCATTGCTTCGGATCGTTGGACCTGTTTTTGTAGGGGTTCTGGAGTGAGCCAGTCTAGGTCCCACCAGGCTTCGGAGGTTGGTGGAGCGATTTTCAGGCCGGCCGCGTGGTATGCCTTGGGTGGTCGGCGTTTGTGTTTGGCGCCCGTTTGCTGAAAGAAAGGCATCGGTGTGTGCCTCTCTGTCTCCTGCAGCTGGTGGTACTGCAGGTAAGTCGGTGTGTCGTTGGGTTTGGGAGAAATCCCCGGTTTTGGTTGCCGAGGTCGAGGAGCCCCAGAGATGGCGTCTGTGCTGGTCGCCTGTCAAGCCCCCCCCCCCCCGCTCAAAAACATTTCTATGGACTAAATTCCACTGTTAAAAGAATGGATCCCTGAATAACTGTTCATACAACTACCGCTCAGCCAGCAGTTGTATTACTGTGGCTGTCAAGAAAAGATGGAATCTGTTATCCATGGACAGTACTCTAAGCTTGATTTTTTTCTGAACCTCCCCTTATAGCATACAAGAGTAATATCAATCTAAAGTATTTACTGGTGAAAACACAGAGACTTATGGTTCGGAAGGGATGCTCCAAGTGTCAATGATGTGATACTTGTGGACACATGCTCACAGTTTCTTTCTTTGTGCATCCTCATCCAGGCAAACACATCCCAATCAAGCATTTAATCACATGCCTGTCTGAATATGTTGTGTATTTGATTTCATGCCTGTGTCTGCTATGCTACATAGAAAAAAATGGATCTAACTCTAGAGAATGAGGGGACACAGATCAGCCAATATGATCGTATTCAGGGATGGCAAAACAGACAAGCCTGTCACACAACATTTATTGTAGTTTAAATACAGGCTGCAAACACTTAAAAATTATTGTCATCAAACAGTTCCACTCTTTGGAAGGGAATGGTGACAAGCCTAGAAGGCTTCTACAGAGAGGAGCTTTTTGGCTCAAGACCTTGTATGCTAAATGAGAGTCTTTAATTGAGTTGCATTTTGGAAGCACACAATAATTTATTGTGATGTAACATCCAAACTCTTGGATCTTGGTGCACAGTCTATTATGTTTTTGTTTTTTTATGTATGTTTCTTTAAGATAGCAATATCTTCAATAACAGGAGCAATTAATTAAAAGACTGTACATCTCATTCTATCTGACTTATATGCATGCTTGGTTTAATTTATTTCTGGATGTGTTTTACTGCACTCACACTTTATTTGCATTTTTTTCTTTAACGTATGCTTGTCACTTTCTGTGCCTTATTTTATTAAAATTATTCACCTATCTTCTTTTGCTCGTTTTTATTTCTCCATTTTTCTTTTTTTTTTTGTTTGTTTTCTTTTCTCATAACATTTATTCATCACTTCTTTTTCTCACATTTTTGCATGCTTACTGTATTTTGCACAATTCTATAGCACTTCACACATCTGGGACACTTTTGGTTTTCCTCTATCTCTGTCTATACCCTTACACCATTTTCTGTAGTTGTTTGATCCTTAATTTTTTTTTTTACAGATTTAAAATTCTGTGCTGTGCTCCTCAAGGTATGATGTATTGTAAATTAATACTTTCCTTGCGTCGTTATGATGTCCATGTATGTGGATGCGGACAACACTTGACATTTGACCGTGATTATTTATTTAACAAAAATAAAGCCAAAATGCTATTTTCCACAATACCTAGGAGATGGACACTGATTGGGTGGATTGGCTAGGGGTTATGTTACACCCCTGGTTGACAATCAGACAAACGATACTGGCTGTTTAGCTCAGTGGAGCTAAATGCAAGAGGCAGGCAATTGCTCAGATCACCTGCCGTGCAGAGTGTTGTAATTGGGCTACATTAGGAAGTCTGCATGTGTTCATTGTGGATATATCTACTAAATATTTGGGCAGTGGAGTGTCCCTTTAACTGGATATTTGTATATAAATATAATTCTATACAAAATACACATTTTTTTTTTGTATCTTTCATACTTTTCATTTGAAGTGTATTAGCAGCTAATTTAAATCATGGGGGGCGTGGCCGGACCGTGCATGGGAGCAGGCGTGTAGTGCCTGTGCTCTGTGCCCTCGGCCTAATAATTAGCTAGAAACTCGCTGGAACCAGCCTTATCGTGGTCCGGACGAAAAAGCTCCTATCTCAGGGGGGACCCTCCACCTGTTCACCCCGTAAATATAGTGGCACGATGGATGACTATGTGTCCACGCCGGCAGATCTGCGGGGAGCCGGGCCTGCTGCCAATATGGGGCTGACCTCCCCTGGCGCCGAAAGCGTGGGAATCTTGTCGGAGGATGGTGAACAGGAATTTACCCGGATTTCGGCTAACATGCTCACGAAGGCGGGAGGCAGGGGCCCCGGAGCCCACAGCTGGATCAACAGCAGGAGAGGGAGCCTCCCGCAAGGATGATGGGCGGCCCGGCAGGCGCTGAGGAGTGAGGAAGCGACTGGACTTTATGGAGGTACTGGGGATGGGCATCGTGGTTGGCCATAGTGGGTATTAGCACCTAGGTTGGGTGGCGGTTGGGGACCTCCGCGGCGGGCCTTCCTCGCCCCCCTCCTCCCTTCCCCCTCCTCCTCTCCCCCGCTGCGGGAAGGACTTGGGACACTATGCCGAAGAGAGATGTGCCCCCCCCCCTCTTTTCCCCTGCCCCCTCCCCTCTCGGGCCAGTACAAATAGCATATTAGGTGATCCCTTACCCGGGGGTTTTGGGTGGTGGGGATATGGGACCGGAGGACCCTTGGAAGCCTGGCAGAACTGGGTGACTTTGGTGTTGGGGGGTTGGTGGGACGATGCTGGGGTACTAACGCTTCTGCTGGGGGGGCGGGGGCGGTGGCCTGCTAAAGGTAGTGGGGGTAGTGGTGGGCACAGCAGACGCCTAGGGGGACACGGTTTTGAGGCATAGCACAGGGGGCGGCCTGGGGGGATGCGGGTCTCTCTGCGCTCCATAACGCCAGCTCCGAACCTTGCTTTGTAATTGGCTATTGTTCCATTTCGTTTTAAGTAGTCCGGGGGCCGTTAGGAGTTGGTCAATTCTATTTGGGTACCCTTTTCACACCTTGATAGATAGTCACGGGCCCCTCTGTACGGGCACCGCGCACGTCCCCGCGGACAGACTGCGGGTTGCAGACGGGAGGTTCGCGGGACACTGAGTCAACTGAGGGTTTGGGGACTCAGACCTGTCGAGTTCTCCCCAAACAGTCACGTCCTATTTACCCCGGCTGGGGTAGACCTATCTGGTCACAAACCTTTCTCACTTGACAGATCCACTAGACTGCACCTCTTCCTCCCCCCCTCCCTTTTTTTTTTCTTCTTCTTCCACTCCCCGCTTTTCCTCCCTTCCCTTACTTGTCGACCATGGTTGGGCCACGGTCACACCTGCTTCGGTCCCTCTGGGCCGCTCGAGCCTCCATAGCATTCCTCCAGGAGACCCACTTCAGGGGTGGGGCGGGACCCCTTCTTAGAGACCGGTGGTTTCCGACTGGATACTTCGCGAATCACCAGCTGGCAAAGAAGGCAGGGGTGGCGATACTCATTGCGCAGCACGTGCCGTTCAGCTGTGTGGAGATAAAAGCGGACCCGAATGGCCGCTATCTATTCCTAAAAGGTACGATAGCTGATAGGACATACACATTGGCGTCCATATACGCACCGAACACGGGCCAGCACCGCTTCCTTTCCAGGACCCTCCTGCTACTAGACCAGTTCAGGGAGGGGGTGCTCCTTGTAGCGGGTGACATCAATGTCCCTCTGGACCCACGCATGGACACCTCAAAGGGACACAGCTCGCACTCGGGCCTATGTATCCGAATGGTGGGAAAAACGCTGCGTGCCACGGGATTGGCCGATACCTGGAGAGTTCTTCACCCGGAAGACAGGGACTTCTCATTTTATTCGCAAGTGCATCACGGCCACAGCCGCTTAGACTACATCTTGATCGCTCAGGAATATCTACACCTCCTCCAGTCTTGTGACATCCAAACAGTGGTCTGGTCAGACCACGCCCCGGTCCTGGCTACGATACGCTCACCTCTGTTTAAACCCAGCTGTCGGCAATGGAGGCTGAATGAACAAGTTCTTCAAGCGGAGACGAGAGAGGTTATCTCTCAATACTTCGCGGACAACCATGCTCAGGACACCTCGCCCCAGATAAGATGGGAGGCCCACAAATGCGTTCTGCGGGGTCATTTCATTAAGCTCTGCTCGCGACGCAAACAGGAACAAAACACTAGATTGAAAGACCTATAAGCCCGAGCTTTGCACTTAGACCAGACGCACAGGTCAGACCTGACGGAGGACAATTACCGCTCTTTACTGGAGGCGAGGAGAGAACTGAAGAGCCTGCTCTCCAGGAACCTCTCGTATACGCTTCGTAAGTCCCGCAGATTCTTTTATGAACATTCCAACAAATGTGGGAGCCTGCTCGCTAGAATGCTACAAAAGAAGTGCCGAATGTCCCAAATAACCATCCTGCAAAAGGCGAATGCGCCCCCCGTACGCAGACCGGATGGCATAATGGCGGAATTTCAAGAGTTCTACACCAAACTATACAACCTGCCGAGGGACTCTGGGGAGGGGGCTTCTCGACAGCGCCTGGACGAGATTCGGGAATATCTAGAACAGCACGTGACCCGGAAGCTCACGCAGGCTCAGGCCGAAAACCTCGATACCCCCATCACCTTGGAAGAGCTCACAGGAGCCCTCAAAGCCGCGAAGATGCATAAAGCCCCGGGACCGGACGGCTTTCCCGTGATACATACGTACCTTCGGGGAGATTCTCCTGCCGGAGCTGCTGGAGTGCCTCAACTCCATTTTGGAGGGTGGGAGGTTCCCAGAGGATACCCTCATGGCTACAGTGGCGATGGTGCCGAAAGACGGGAAAGACCCTACAACGTGTGCCGGTTACATACCTATCTCTCTACTCAATGCGGACCTCAAGCAATTCACGAAGATTCTAGCCCGCAGAGTGGGGGTAGTGGCTCCAGACCTGATTCACCCAGATCAGACCGGGTTCATCCCAGGGCGTGAGGCAAAGGATAATACAATCAGGGCCCTCAACCTCATACATGCCACCAAGGGAACTGCAGGCGGGGGCCTCCTGCTCTCCACGGATGCTGAGAAGGCTTTTGATAGAGTAGACTGGCAGTTCCTGAGGG